TTTTTTTTGGTTGTTATTTAATGTGTTTGTAGTGCGTATTTAAAGAAAACAATAAATAAACAATATTTTTGAGTTCCGTCGAGAAGAGCTAGCAAGCTGACAAGTTATGACGCAAACTAATAATAAAAAAAATGCTTAATAATAATTAGATTTTATTTGAGTAATAATGGTTTTTACTATTTTTTCCCAAAATTTTACATTTTATGCGAAGTACACGTAGAAATCTATGTATCTTCCTTACATAGAATAAAGCAAATGCGGTATTTTTTCACCACGTTAATCTTGAAAACTATTGAACGGATTTGTGAACATTTTTTAATAGAGGTATTATCTTTAGGCCTGAGAATTTTTATAGAAAATCGGGTGTCAGATGAAGGTGCTTGGCCTCTAGATGACCAATAATGTATTATCTTTTTAGTAGGGCTGGCACTATTTTAAAAATTATAATATCTTAACAGTTAATAATAATAATAGATTGGCGCTTACACATATGTTAGTGTTTGGTCGAGCTTCTCCTGCGATTTGTGACGTGCGCCTTGATGTTGTCACACAAAACGGAGGGACTTACAGTCTTACGCCGACTCCGAACGGCGATTGTATATTTATGAGAAGCTGTTTTTCATGGCAGAAATACACTCGGAGGTTTGCCAGTTACAGTTAGTTGTACTAAAAATGAGGTGCAAAGTGAAAGGATCCCCGGACGTGCAATAAGGCTGCCACCTTTTTAAAAATTAGTACCTTACATATACATATAAATTTTTTGTTAATGTCTTCAGATTTGCACCGTTCATTCAATTTACGAAAAATCAGGTGTCAAGAGCTAGATGTGCAATGCATTTTTATTTTTCGTAAGAGTTGCCTCCTGGAAAAGTCGAAACGTAAGAGTGCTAAGATATCTTTGGTTTCAATATTTAAGATATTTTTAAGGTGTTTGAACGAGGTTGGTATCAATCGAAATACGTTTGAAAGACTTTATTCAGAATTATATTTAGTAGGGTTGCCACATGTTTAAACTAGCAAACTCAACTTGAATTGAAATTGTACCACATATGGGTGCCACACTAAGCGCTCATAGAACAGATCTTTGGATGCCTCGTCCATCTGTTTCATCGGGGCATTGGCACATATGAGAGAGATGTTGCAGAATCTCGCTTTGATGTGGATTGTGGCTAGACGTTCGTCCACTAAAGTGAACGCCGGTACTCGGCAACGGAGTCTCTCTCCCACCACAAATCCAACACTGAATTTGCGCTGTTGCGTGGCAACTGTAGTAGACGTCGCAAGGCTCTACGCTTACCTTCATTCGCCCCGTCAATCGCATTTCATTGATGACTGAGATGTCTGCCTTTATTTTCCCAAGGACATCAACCACCCGGGCAGAAACACTTTCCCGATTAAGGGATCGGATATTACATGTACATACCCTCAAATCATAGTCCTTCCTACGTTTGCCGTGATCGTAATCAAAACAAGGGGGGTATCATCCGAGGCATGTGTTTTTTTTCATTGGGCAGGGTTTAAAAGTGTCGGGACCCAAGCCCAGCGCACGCGGGGTTTTACGCCCTCCCACTCTAGCTCGCTCCCAAACGAGTGTTCGGATATTCCAGGTACCCTGAGGATTCGTGGATATAAATATCCGGACGTAGTGAGGTGCGATTTGAACCGTAAGCATACGAATCACTTCTGGCCACTCTAAGGTGGATGGCAGTCAAATGCTTTGTAGTGCTGAGAAATGTACAGAACATAGTGGTCAAAGGCGAATATCTCAACTAAACCCTGATGAATATCTCAACTAAACCCTATACATACCTGTATAGTAACCTAAATAGCCGGACAAGACGTTATTCAAAATAAAAAAATGTAAAAAAATTAAAATCCGTGTACTCTGTAATATTCCTCTGCAATTTTGTAAGATAAACTAACAATTTATAATCGTTGCTTTGCAGCGAAATCATCTTCTTCTTTATTGGCGCTGTAACCGCCCAAGCGATTTTGGCCGAGTCCAAAACAGTACGCCAGTAATTTCTCTTCTGTGCTAACTGACGCCAAACGGAAATGCCAAGTAAAGCCTAGTCCTTCTCCACCTGGTCTTTCCAACGCAGACCAGGCCTTCCTCTTCCTCTGTTACCAGCATCGCGGTCCGCGGCCTGCGAAATATCTTCTCTAAAATTATAATGCATACATATGCATGTATAAATATGAGGTCGTATTGAAAATTTGGGTACGCAGATTTTTTATGCTGGTATAAATATTCATTTATGCAAAAAATATAAATTTTAGTCTGTTTTCTCACACCGTGCAATACAAAAAAAAATCATTAAGGGCTGCTAACTTATCTATTTTAAAGTATAGTTAAATAATTAGTTAAACTTAAATAGAAGAAAGTTCTGTGAAATTTTTTCTGTAGTTAAGTTTAACTAATGATTTAATTATAATTTAAAAAAGATATCTATGTTAGCAGCACCTAATATGCTATTTTTATTATAGAAACTTATGTGCGCTATTTGTTTTCTGCCGTCTGCTGTAATTACTTAAGAAGTAACCGACTTGGCTGTTCACCAAACCGGTCAATAGTTTTATCAATCATCTCAGATTTTTCTCTGATACAAACTTTCGATGTACGCTCAGAAGACACAAACTTAATGACAAAGTAATAAACAATGGAAAACATTTTTTTATTAGTTTACCGTTCAATACATTTTGGCAAAATATTTTTTGTTTTTTTTTTTACTTTTTTATTTATTAATTTATTTACTTTATTTTATTACATTTCATATTTGTTTACATCAAAATGTATTCAACAAAGTGTGATTGAATTTGACATTGCTCTCAGAAGAACCATCCTATAAAGTCAAATTGAAAAAAGTTTGTATGAATTTTGAATAGATTGTTTATATTTTTGGCATAAAAGTACCTTAAACGAGAGCGTATTTGAGTTGTCAATCACACCTTGTTTAATACACCTTGGTTTACATATTCCGCTGTAGGTGGTCCCATATTTGAACACCGTCAGACATAACTTCAAAACTGTTATGTAAAATTTCGATCTTCCTGTTATTTGTCCAGAATACGAAAAAGAATCTGCGAAGTTCAGAAATAAAGTGTATTGAAAGTAATTTTTGTGAGGATATTTAAATAGAAACTTGTAAAGAAAACAAACTACAGATAACGTCTGCATGACTCTTGCACGACTTTGCAACTAACTTAAAGTTAGTTTTGTCATAGCTAATTAAAAGTTAGTTATTTATCGAACTCCCACAAAAAAGCCAACTAGAAGTTGATTATTTTAATCAATTGATAACTTTTTCTGCAGAGTTGATACAGAACCGGATGACACACATATCTACTTTATAAATCTATTTACTAATTATTTTGTTAGCATTGATTGTATAATTTGTTTTATAGTATATACATAGGAAAAAACTTGGAAGCTAGTATGTACAATTATGTAAATATCAATATAGAAGGAGGCCCTATCTAACTGGCCGTCTCCACAGGATAAAATTTATTGCTGTCCAGCTGTCATTTTGGTTGCTAGATATATGTATGTAAGTTATATCACTGGCAATATTTGTGTGGACTTTTTATATCTTGATATAATCATTAGTAAGATGGCTTCTAAAACGTATTTTTGCCGGATTTAATCGCTTAAAAAATTAAGAAAGTAGGCTATTTCACATACAAGTACATAATAACAAATATTTCAAAGGAAAACAGCTCAATTTTTGCTTTTATATTAAAATATCAATAATGTTGCCGCCACGAAGTTTTCGTGCAAATGAAAACTTCACAATTGCCGGCAATAGATGGCAATATATAAGCTATGATATATAGTTATTGCTTCTGAAGAGCAATGTGCAGTCTCCATTGGCTATTTATATTATAACATATGTATCAAGAAATAAACTTTATCCTGTGGAGACGGGCAGTAAATTTTTGGTTTCGTTACAAAAAACTTTAAAAATTTATAAAAACTAAAGCCGAATTTCCACTAGGCATTAAAATGACAAAAATGTATACCATTTAAAAAAATGTCATTTGGAAATGAACTTAATGACTATTTTTTTTAGGTAATGACACGAATATTTTTTAGTGCCCACTTTGTCACTTGTCATTTTTGCTATTTAATGCCTAGTGGAAATAATGCATAAAGTTCTTCAGTTGAGATCTTTTTCATTATACTGGTTTTTAATATGTACAGAATCTAAATGTTTTATGTTGTACAGGGTGGCGCCAAATGAGCTATATAGTTTAATGGTTTATAACTTTTTTGTTTATGCGATTATTATATATTTTTTTTTAAATACAGTATATTATTGGGGAAATTTTTGCAATTAGCTTTGAAAAATGATATTCTGTAAGTGATGTCCTTTTTCTGCTTCGCACATTCGTGCTCTTTTTAGCATATTTAGTATTACAACCAAAAATTTGAGGGTTTTTTTTGCCGAAATTACGATTTTTCAAGGTAAAATGACGATTTTTCAGCAAAAGCATTCGGCAACGCTGCTGGCAGGTCATTTCCAGGCGTGGATCCCGTTGGCATAGAGTAAAAAAAAACTGTTATAAAGAATTCAAACCATATAGGTCATTCGGCGCCACCCTGTTGTTGATTTTAAATTCGATTAAGCCTTTAGTGAGTAATCTACCTATTTTTATGCAGAGCTGAATTTTGAAAAAATAATGAGTAAGGCCTTCTATATTAAGATGTGTGTTTTATATTATTGTTAAGTTGGTAGAAACATTTATATTTATGGCGTTTACTTTACTGCAATCTTATCTTTTCATTGCTCTCTTAGAATTTGTGCAACGAGGGCAATCGGGCGAAGGTAAAGGTTTTCGGTAAAAAGAAAATGCCATTACTTCTGTTTTTCAACAAAACACCAATATAAGAATTAATAGTCCCTAATACCTTGAAACTCTCTCAATCTGCATGTATTTAAATTAAAAAATGTAATTGACCACAAACCTAACACTAAAAATTTATTTCTCTTTGCCATTTTAGTAAAAACTAAAATTATCCATATTTAACACCAAAAAACGCGCATTTGAGTTCATTCTACAGCGGTATTACGCTTTTAGCAGATTGAAGAGGATATACATTAAAAATGGTGGAATCAGATATATCACAACTGCCTCGGCTAAATAATAACGAGTTTTTGAACTTTATACCGCACCTTGAATTAGAAGAACTTTTAATGACACAAATAAAAGTAAATGGACGTTGGGATTTTTTGTTCAGTGCTTCATTTAAGAAAGAAAACCAGCTGAATTCACTTTCGTGCCTTGCTTGCAAAGAATTTGTAGAATGCCCGAAGTTTAGCAATCACATCAGAGCAAAATTCCACGAAGAAGCACTGAAAAATGTCGAACAGTTCTATCATCCTTTTTATACATATAACAAGGATTGCGAAAAAGTTGCAGGTGGTGGAGATGTTTCTGAAAATGAACTCGGGGCTGCTAACAAACTTTCTAACGATACTAAAAATCTGGAGAAGACGCCTATATCTAAACTGAAATTGATTGCTCAATGCGTTCGAGAATGTGAAGGCAATTTTTTAAGTTCATTTACAGATAATGAAGCATTAGCTAAAACGATTTTAGCAAAAAATGTTACCAAGCCTGAGGAAATATTGATAGATGTTAAATTGCCACTTCCAGATATTTTAACAATCGAATTCAGTGTGGAGAAGGGCAAGTGGATTCGGATGGTAACCGTGAACAAAACTGCAAATACAAAATTCTACTGTGCTTTATGCTCAAAGTTCTGTTTTGGAATTATAACGGTGGACAATCATTTCAAAGGATTAGCGCACAAACGAGCTCAAATAGCATGCTTAGCCGTTCGCTGTTCAAGTTACAAGTTTTTGACCAAGAATTGTATATTCAGCCATGGTGAAAAGTTTTCCCTTAACGTAAAAAAATCAGCCACGCAAAGTTTCAATAACGATATATTACCAAAATCTAACGATACTGAGAATCTACAAAAAATTGAAGGAGCAAAAGAGACACCGAAAATTAAGGAAGAAAAGCCACTAGAAAGTGCCCAAAATGATTCTGAAACTAACACAAAGCTAGCTTTATCTGCTTCAATCGCAGATAAAGTTAAAAACATAAGAGAAACAATTCAATTTCAGAATAAGAATGTGGAGGGACTAATAGGAGTGGAATATGTTGTTAAAATCATAAAAACAACTACTGATAAATATCCGATGTACGAATGTTGTCTTTGCGAAATCGTACTAAATGAAAATCGGATGCAAGGACATCTAACTGGATATAATCATCGGCTTAAATATTGTGAGTTGCATTACCCTAACACCATCGAAAAGTTTAAAGATGCCATTGGGCATGTTAAGTATATTGATTACTTCAATGTAATGAATCATATTTTATCAAAAATTGCCACTGGAATCGAGGAGCATCATGGACGAAGCACCCCTTTTGTGGCGCTGTTATCTACTTATACCAAAATGAGAACCGAATTGATTGCAAAAATATATAGTTATCCCAATGCTTGCCAACAACATGGACCATCATTCACAAACGTTATAAGTGAGGAGGAAATTAAACAGATAATTACTGAACATTCAGAATACGTGACCCAAACTAATAATTATGCCAGGTTCGCTGAAAAACCAGAGCAAAAACTTTATTTAAATCAACGATGCCATGATCCATCCAAAAGAAATTCCGAATATGTGGATATTCGTAAAAGAAAGCGTTCATCATCTCCAAGCGTCAATAAAAAACCCAGCAAGCGTCCTTCACGTTCTCGGTCACCACAGAATGTTTCAGTAAAAAAAAAAATACAATCTCGGCAACATTTAGTTAATACACCAAATGCCTCCTCGTTTCATCGGGATGAAGAAGCAGTCGTAACTTATGAAATCGAACGCATGTATAGAGAGTATCGAAAAAATCCAGAAAGCCATCCTCTTTACGATGAAGAATGGAATGGATTTTGGCGTCGGCGTAAGGAACAACTTATTTCACAGGGAATAGATCATCGATCTCACAATTATCAACCTGAGTGGGTTAAATACTTCAAAAATCGTTTAGAGGAACTTTTTGAAAAAGAAATTTGTGATTCAAAAATGGAAGTACGAAAGCGCTCTTCAGAGTTTGAAAGGAGTAATTCTTCAAATCGCTTTATTAACCACATTGGACTAAAACCTGATAATGCTTATGGAATTCAGGATGAAAAATGGTCTCCAGATGTAATCTCACATTCTTCACATTCTCGTTACATGGAAAGTGAAAATAAAATGGCTGATGGCAAACCCACTGTAATCCATGTGCTCCGACTTTTAACTGCCTTAGAAGATTATCTTGGTAGTTTAGGAGCGAAAATAATGAATTTACTTTCCAAAGCTTTAATGATAGAGAAAAATTGTAATAATTTTGAGTTAGAACAACAAATTTTGACCTTTGATAATTGTACCCTTTTGGAAACTGCTGTGGAAAAGTTGAAAGGAATATTATTTGCTGGATTACTCGACAGAACTAAGTTACAGGGGTTCAATCGTGTTATACAATTTACCACTGATTTACTTAAACATGCCGATAAAATGGGATGGCGGAGCATGCAGCAATCCTTCCCCAATAAAGTGGAAAAGCCGGTATTTTTAAACTTGGCCGATGCTGTACAAAACACTCGTACTAATACATTCTCTTCTACTCAAAAGTCACTGTCGGACACACTAATGGAGCTATTATCAATGCAGAAAACTAACAGCCAAACTTCTGTAAATAACTCCCATAATCCAAAAATATATAATGACCACAATCAAGGAATGCACATACCAGCCGTAGACCAGTATTCTGTTAACGCTAATTCTCGGGGTGGTCATTGGCAAAATCTAGGAAAGAAAGAAAATTTTCTAACCAAACCTCCATATTTCGAGGGGCACTTCAACGGAGGAACTAAAAATGACGCCATTAATCAGAACTTTACGAACCCTATGTTTAATAAACCATCAAATTTTGTAAACATTGGGACGCTTGGAAGAATACCAAATCCGAATTACAAGCCGATAGGTGACAACTTTTATCAAACGGAGGACTATGGAGCTGCTATGAAGAGAAATGCTTCATTAAATAAAAATTAATACGTTAATAAATTTTTGCAAGAATTACATTTTCAGATGTGGTGGATCAATTGAAATTAGGGTTTTACTATTATCGCTTGATTAAAAAATATTTTCTCGGGCCATACAAAATTGTTTTTATTGTATTTAGTACATATTGCCAACATCAATATAAAAGATTCTACATATTTCGTTAGTTTTCTCTCGGATATACCCCTTAACAAAATTTAAAGCTATATCTTACAGAATACGAGATTTATTGACATCTCTAGAAAAGCTCTGAAAAGTGGTTTGCTTATGGGTCATTCCATGTAAAGGAGGAAAGCTACATAAATGCTGTAACTATCTCTATATCAGTAGTAACATCTTTTTAAATGACTGTTGAAAAATATTAAAAGAAAACTGAAAATATGCTATAATTTTTATCTATGGAAACTTACTTCATACATACATAATTACTTTCTGCCAGTCACAAGGACCTGTCCCACCAGTCACAACTTTAAATATTTTTTAATACACCCAGCGAAATAATTATAAGACTAATATTAAGACTTCGTTAACAACACAGTTTTTATTCAAGATTATTTCATTATGTGGCAACACTGTCATATGATCAGACTGTTTTATAGCGGTACTATATGTCATATGTTGTTGTTTATGTTTTGCCCACGTGACCATTTCTACACTGAAGTAAAAAAATAGTAAAATCAAACAGAAATGTATTTAATCTTACTATAAACGGCAATGAAAGTACTGTATAGTGGCAAATATCAGATCAAGTACGCACATATTAAAATGAATCATTTTGCTTTTATGGATAAAAATAAAAAATAAAATTTAATTTGCATGTTGCCTGCAAGGGAAATCGAACTCTGACCCTCTGGAAATCAACAAATTGAGGCAAGCATCTTTGCGCACTCAGGTACAGCCAGACATGTAAATGTGGTTTAAAATGTTGAGTTTCAATCAACACCACAGCACGCGATTAGTGCATTTGTACAGAAAAACATGTACTATGTACGTATGTGTGTGTTGTCACCACTCTGCATGCTTGACATTAGTGTTCGACCGAACGTTCGGCCTGTCTTCGGTATTCGGCTTGTTCGGATGATTGTTTATCTTCGGGTGATAATGCCGAACGATTAGGCAATTCACAAGGTGTTGTATTTGTCGCAAAGTTACATTATTTCACAACAGTTGTTAAAATTTTGTGGTTGTTTCGCCATGTCGTAAAATACTGAGCCAATTTCATAGAAGTGAATCAGCCAGCAGATATTTGAAATCCTATCAGGAGCTATTACATTTACCAACACATAAATTAATACAAGATAATCCAACTAAATGGAATAGTTCCTTTACCATTATGAAAGGCGCTTAGAGCAAAACTAGCGATTAATATGTTTGCTGTTACGAGTTGTTCTATAAATACACTGCCTGCGGATAAGTGGGCGTATATAACTTAAATTTGGCCTATTTTGAAATTTTTTTTTTACAAACTGCCGAAACAGACGAGTGTGAAGTAACCGATTTGAAGGATAAAATGTTAAAATCCTTGCATCGCCGCTTTAAAAACTTAAATTATATGGCTGCTAATTTAATCGATCTAAGATTCAAAGGAAAATATTCTACAGCAGATGAATTGGAACAATGTAAAAGCACAAATTTTCATTTTCGGTACTCGCCGACGCCAACGCAAAATCTTTCTCTCAAACACTCCAAGAGGCGCCCCATCGGATGTTGTCATTGTCCATACTTCTGCGCCATATACCAGCACGGGCATGATGAGTGACTTATAGAGCGTGGTTTTCGTCTGAAAGAGGGAGGCCCCCACTGCGATGGAAAGACCAGGTGGAGACGGATTTGGCTTCGCTTGGCGTTTCCAATTGGCGTCAGTTGGCACAGAAGAGAAACGACCGGCGTGCTTTGCTGAACTCGGCCAAAATCGCTTAGGCGGTTACTGCGCCAAAAAATAAGAAGAATCTTCAGTAGTAACTAAAATATCGCTGTTTTCGTGTTTCTGAAAATTACCGTTATATGGGAGGTAGGCGTGGTTATTGTCCAATTTTGCCCATTGTCAATACCATCCGTCCTACGCCTGAAAGAAGTGCACGTACCAAGTTTCGTTAAGATATGTCAATTTTTACAAGAGTATCGTGTGCACAGAGGTACGGACGAAGGGACGGACAGACAGTCACCGCTTAATCGATTTCTCTTTTCATTCTGATCATTTATGTATACATTTGCCTATATCTATCTCGTATCGTTTTGCCTGTTACAAACAACCGTTATGTGAACAAAGTTATAGTACCCTTGTGCACAAGTGCGCTCGGGTATAAAAAACACAAATTTTTGTGCAAAACCGCATATGGCATTCTGACTCCTTAATAAATAAACATAAAAATCGTATGATAAAGCTTTTTGTTGAGCAAATCATGGTAAAAATGCACATCTTTTTCAAGTTAATTTCGTACATTCTATCTATTTCGACATAGGATTTCGCTTTGACGGAACTGATTCCGGATGATATCGCTTATGCTTTAGGCTCGTACTAGAAAGGTCAGGGGTTTTAAAATGATTCTTACAAATACGTGCTGTTGGTGGCAAAGACATGTGACAAGCTAGCTCCCATTGTTTTTTTTTTTTTTTTTACATATTCGTAGTTCGGTACGATGAACACGGAGTCACCGCACTGCGACCACTTGCATAAAAAACACGCATGCGGCATTATTAGTTTTTCTCGCTTTCTATATTTCTTTTTTGTTAATAAATTCCATCTATCAAAAGGTTAAAATTTTAAATAACACACTCAAGCTGTTGTAAAATATGGATATGAGAAAAATGAAATGTCATTACTTGGCACACTGTCTACACTGGATTAATTAATTTGTCAAAAACTATCAGTCCCATCGGAACGTGATATATCGATGGTTTGTGGAATTTTGTTAGCTTTCATTTGTCGTATTCCATTTGTTAAATTGATTCATGAGATATTAGTGACTAAGTGGAATCACCTTTTGTTTTAAGCTGAATAACGGTAAATTGAAAACAACTCGAAAACGTATCCATATAATAAACAATTAACTCGATTTTTGTGGCGTCTGGAGAATAAAAACCAAAATAAAATTTGTGATCCAGTGTTATCATGCTACTATATTAATAAACATCTTTTGCTGTTGCATAACTTCCGACGACATAGTTATAATTCAGAATTGATAACATTCTGGAGTAAAATGTCCCACCAGTCGCAATGGAATGGCCCTTATACGATAAATTTCAAAATTGTAAAACCATTTGTTAATATTCAAAGTAATAAAAAATGAGACTCTTGCGCGATTGTCCCGGGTTAAAAGTCCATACAGTCAAACCAGTGCCCGCCAAAAAGAGAAAAGTCTTAAAATGAGAATGTATAAGTTATGAAAAAAAATGAGAATGTGTTGGTGGTAATGCATGCAAATTTCTGTGTTGTTTTACTTATTATAAAAACTTTGGTATGTTTTTTTGCCGTTTTTTTCATTGTGCGCTATTTTTTAGGTCTAAACAACATAGAAACATATAATAAAAGTTAACGGCCCTAAGAAAGGAAAAAGTTGGTAAAATTTTGTATGTATTGTACAAAATTATTATTATTTTTTTATAATTTAAGTGTGGATTTCTGAGCAAAAAAGACAACGTGCTTCGAGCACTCTGAATATTAAAAGAAAATTTCGTTGATTTCAAGTAGAAATAAAATAAATATATATATATCATCTTAAAATTTGGTAAAACTTGACATTTAAGAACAATTTAAAATAACGATTAAACCAAAATATAAATAACAAAAAATATTGTATGTTTTAACTGAGGACTAGTCTGGTATTAAAAAAAAAATACATAATTCACAAAGTTAATATGAAGAAAGAGCACGACTTGGTACCTATTTCTAGGGGTGTATGTACGAAAAATTGTGTTCTAAAATTTTTGAATGAATATTCATTCATTCTGCTCAGTGTACCTACTTTATTCAACAATAATGCGTCATCAACCTGCTTCGCCTATTGTTTGGATGCAACTAAATAAAATTTGTTGCTCTTCTACTCTTTCTGTTGACGTTCGGATTGTATACGTGTAAGAAGCCGATTGTGTACATGTGAAAGGCCGAATATAGTTCGTTTCCCAGGAAAGTGTTTGGTGGGCACTGGTCCAAACAACAAGCTTCGAAATGTCTCCACCTATACAACTTAGTGGTTGATTAGCTTCTAGACATGTCTGCTAACACGTTTAAGAAAAATGGCATTAGTAAAATACAAAGGGCAAAGGAAGACGGTGTTGCATGAATCGAATTTCTATCGAAGAATTCGAATTTCACAGACTAAATAATGGGAGTTAAGTGATCGGTTGCTGTTGGATTTATCTTTATTTTTAATACCAAGTTCGATAGTACACAAGCCATAGGTTTTTCTAATTTTTCATAGTTTATCTGAGTTGAGAACATGTACACTAGGTTGGCCCTTAGCCATATGGAACAAATTTGATTTTAATTTTTGTTACGACGCACACCCCAGATTGGTGAATATTCATTACAAAATGTTTATCCAAAATTTCAGGTCAATCGGAGAAAGTTCAGCCGCGCCGTAAACTAATTTTTTCATGGGGAATTTTTCAATTCGTCTTTTCCCCAAAATGCGCAAGGTGCTTTTCCTGAATCTGTTTTAATTATAACTTCAAGGCTTTATATATTAGTAAGCTTAAAACATTTGCGCAAGCACTTACCGTCTTTTCGAGATAAATATGTTTTAATGTGAACTTATTAAGTTTTATCAGGCACGGCCTTCTATTATCCAAATTCCAACTATATGGAAAATAATAGTAAATACCGTCTGTATTAATCTTTATTCCAAAACTGATAACTTTTATTCCAGCCGAACCCATTAATGCATTAAAAATCGGGATTTGTGTAAAATATTATTTAAAAGCCCTTCTAAATTAATGCAAAGCAAGTTCAGCAATGTGGAAGAATATATTTGAAACCAACTGACCAGCCTCGAAAAGAAAGAATCTGCAACAATCCTTG